ACAAAGAATTCAATATAGTGAGTGTCTTGATATATAACATGTAATACAGCTATTGCTAGTTATTACTTCTGGACATAAGTTTTAAAAATAAAAAAAAGTAGGTAGTATGTTAAGTTGTAGTTTAATTTTAAGGATTTACTATTGCTAAGTGTAATGTTTGTATATAAGCTAGTTCTATTAATGTATTATTTAGATATAGTCAGGTTGCTTCCTAGTTAATTTGTGAAAATAGAGAAATAATATTATTTATTCAATTTTAAGATAACCACATAGCTATTATATATACATTGCAGATATTTTTGTTTGCTCATCAGGTAGGTTGTTCAATAGTATATTGGTTATATTGTATATTATATGAAGTACTATAAATGTTGTTGTATCATATATCTAGAAAATTTGTTGAGTTGTGGTTTGATGTGAGCTTATTTGCTTTATTATTGAATATGTTGTCTTCATGAGCTGATACTTTGTAAAGTGTGATGTTGTATCTGTATGATTTAATTAAATTGATAATTGTATACCATATTGGCTAATAGTTATAAGAATATTGTTTATGTTGTGGTATTATGTTGTCAATAATTTTGTTAAATTTAGAAATTACAGATTATGAGTTAGTATAAATTTGGATATTGCTGTTTCAAGAGCATATGCATATAGCTAATAGAATAGCTACTAGCTTAGCTTTGTATAATGATAGCCAGAATTTAATTTAAGAAGAATAAGATTCAATAATAATATTGTTATGTATTTGTATTTATTTAATATTCATTGAATATCTATCAGTAGTAATATTAGTAACAAATTCATCAGTATAAAAAGTAAAGCTGGTATATTAGATAATTTGGTTTGCAATTTGATATAATTTGATAAAAGATAAATTGTAATAAAAAATAAGTAAGATTGGATCTTATGATATAATAATAAATAGAAGTGTAGTAATTCTAGTAGAGTTGCATAATGCAATTGAGTATACAAGATCTGTATAATTTGCATTAAGCTTAAGTTTGTAGAATTTTATTGTTTCTTTTCTAAAACTTTTATAGAAAGAGTAGCAGAAATGTCAAATGTACAGTGGTTTAGTATTCTGTTAGAGTTATGTAAAAATCTTGTACTTAGTATACAATTGACCAATAAAAGTAAATAGAGGTTTGTGTTGGGTGTATTTGCTTTAATTGTCTAGTGTGTAATAGATATAGTGTTGTTGTTTTGATTATATTTGCATGCCTTTCTTATTATTAATTGTTCACTATAGTAATCAACACTAATGAGCCAAGGTTTTGATTTTGAATTATAATGTTTAGTTGTAAAAGATAAAAAGTTAGTTTGTAAAAGACTTAGATTAGAGTTAAATTTTCTAATAAGAGAATGTAATATAGTTTTGTCTTCTAATATTGTAAACTATTTTGGTTTGCATCCTGCAGGAATTTGTTCAAGTCTTGGTGAAATATGTTTCCAATCTAAAAGTATAGAGTTATCAGATAAGGCTAATTGTTCAAAGTAAAGAATATGTTTAGTTTGTAATTGTTTTTAAAGTTGTTGTAGTCTTTATGTGGTTTAAGAATGTTTTCAATTAGTGGGTATTGTAGTATATGTAGTAGTATTATGTGTGCAAAGATAGTAAATTGTAGATGTCATAGTAGCAGTATTATTTGATATGTTGTTGTATTTTTATTTAGGCTATCTATTAGTAAATATGAATATTATAAGATATTAGTAGTAAACCACAGGTTATTTTGTAATTGTTATAATAGTTCCAAGTAAATCTGTTGTGTTTAGTCAAATTAGGAAGTTGGTAATATGATATTGTAACTAGATATCCTATATGTTTTTGATATTATATATATTATGATTCAGCATAATGTTAGTTGCAGTAGTTAATGTGAGTTTGAATTTGGGTTTGGCATTAGTAAGATATCTGAATAAAATTTTGTTACATATGTGTTAAGAGAGTACTATATTATATATACAATATTTGATAATAGAAATAATATCATTATTAATTATATAAGTAACTTGTTTGTCTGTTATGTATTTGATTTGAACTATATTTGTTAAACCAAATAATTTTTGTAGAATGAGTTTGATTATGATGACTTGTTTGTTAGTTGCAATATATAGGCAACCAAGAAATTTTAAAGATATGTTGAGTAGTTAAGTTGAAATAGTTAAGCTTAGAAAAGTAAAAGTGGATGTGTGTTTTATGTTAGATATTAGACTAGATTTTTAAGGATTTACTTTAATGTTTGCTATTTGATAAAATGTAGATGTTACATTAATGATATTTTGTAATTGTTGTTAAGATTCTGCTAACTATAATTTATTATCTATATATGCTAATACAGAAGTATTTGCATAAGTTGTTTAGTACTTTGCAGAAAATAAAGAAGTTAGATATAACTGTTGATGTATATCTTTGGAATTTTTTGTATATGTAGTTAATAAGAGGGTCATAGTAAATTTGCTATAGCAAATAAGTTATAGTTTCTTTTTGATTGATGCCATCTTCTATTGGGTATGATGGTATTAATCTAAAGTTTGTAATTATTTGATTAAAGCATAGTTTGAGCAAATTAGTTATTGTGCAGATTATAGATTGTTGAAGTTTAATGTAATGCAGTAATTTTTCTAAAAAATTGATATTAACTGAATTATATACTTTGCTTATATTTTGTGAAAATAGCTATATTAGTTTTTTATTGCTATTGGTATCTTCAATAAAGTTGGTTAGAATATTTAGAGATGTATTGATGCTGTTATCAGGTAGTGAACATAATTGTAGGGACTGAGAATTGGGTATAATGATAGAATAATAGAAAGTCAATTGGTTAAGATTTTTGTATATAATTTTTTGGTATGTTTAATTAAACTAATAGGTCAGGTATTGTTAAGATTGCTATTAAAGTTGGGCTTTTTTAAAATAGAATATTTTCTGCTGTTTTTTCACTATTTAGATAACATGTTAGTATTGAGGCATTTGTTAAATAGTTGCATAATAGCCTGTAATATTAGTAAATTATAATGTTTAAGCATTTCATAGCTTATACCTAGTGACTACAAGCTTTATTGTTTAAAAGTTGTTGCATTGTTTGCATTATTTCTTCTGTAAAAATAGGCTTGAGTAGGAGGGCATATCAGTTGCAATTAATGAATTGATAGGTTGATATTCTTCTCTTCAATATTGATTAAATATCATAATATTAATAGATTAGTATTGCATCCAGTATTGAAGATGTTGTTGGACATGTTAAAATATTTCAGTAGAATAAGCTATAACACTATTATTAGTTTTAATATTGTGAAAATATACTAAATTTGTATGTCTATTAAAAATACTATTTATCATTTTAGTAGGTTGTGTTATTAGTTATTCACATCTGTTATTAATAGTTGTATTAATATGCTGTTTAAGGTTTTGAGTATTTTTAATACTATGTGCATAAAAAAGAGCTTTCTATGCTTGCTTAGCATTATCAATCCATTGTGATAATAGTAGAGGGTTTTCAGGTGGGTTTGGAATATCAAAGTTGTGTTTGTAATTAATGATATCAATATCAATTAACTCTATAGATAATGGTTCTAATAAGTTTAAGGTCTTTGTGTAGAGTTGTTGCTTTAGAGCTAAAGATGTAAAAAGTGTGTTTAATTGTTTGTTTTTTGTTAGAAATGTGTCATAAGACTGCATTGATAATGCAAATATAGATTTTGTGCCAGAATTTTTCTAGTAATATTGTAATATCTATTTCTGCAGAAATTTGTATTAATGCATGTTAGAGTTAATTTGATATAAAAATCTTTTTATTTTTCATTAGTCATTGCTTTGTAGTTAAAAGTTCTATGTTTGCATTTATTTTTCTTTATAGGTTTGTTTATTGCAAAAAGAAAGGTCCATTGTGCTATAAGTATTTAATAGTTACTATTAGTAATCTATGATGAGTCATCAATATAGAATCTATTAAGAAATAAAATTGTGTGTTCACTTACCTATATGTAGTCAATTCTGCTAGTGTATCTACTTCTTTATTAGATAGCATCAGTATTATTTGTGTAATTTGCCAAGTCATACATATTAATACTATATAAATAATTTAGTAGTTGATATTTAGCTGCATTTAATATAGTAGTTTGGATTAATGAATTAAAATTACCAAGAATAATTATGTGTAGTTGTAACTGAAGTACTTGTTGTATTCATGTAATAATCATCTGCGCTAATTTTTTTTGTACCCCAAAAATTTTAAGGATATTGACCGACTAGTTGGGGTTAGATGATTATTTGCTGATATTATTACGTAATAAAATTGTATTATATAAATTTTTCCATTATTAGTGTTTTAAATTTGAGGTTGTAAACCAACAATAAAATAAAAAATATACGTACATAAAAATAAGATAAGCAAATCAACCCTTAACTTCTAAAAACCCATTCGAACATGTCGTCAACTTGTATCATCCAATTTTGTTTATGGTAATTCAACTTTCGATTTCCAGATCGATTACGTAATCGAATGGATTGACAACCTTAAACTTGCCAATTAATTCTTTTTGGTGCCATAATAGAGAAAGCACTTCTAATTTAAATAATAGATTACATGTCAATCTTAATATCAATATAATTTTTATTATTGTATAGTACAACTTATATAATTACTCCTTAAGTTTAAAGGTATGTAATTAAAATAGATCACAGTCGATAGTAATTGCTTGAGTTATCTTAATAACAGCTTTATATAATTAATTAATAGAGAGCGAAACATAGTTCCCTAGTCATATTATTTGAATAATAAACTCAATTCATTTGATTTATTACTATCTTATTGATTTATATTCTTGGAGTTTTTTAATACTTAACTTGCTATAAATTTATATCTTATTACGTCATCTTGTAAAGCATCAATATAAATATGCTTTTAGAAAATTTTACACTATCGCTATACACATCTTAATTACCGATACATATCTGTTTATTTAAAATAGCAAACGATAAAATTAAACATAATACAATGGAACTTCACGATTATCCTAGAAAACCTGAAATCGAATACAAAGATCCTTCTACTGGCACTTATCATTATACTATTATCTCTGAAGGATACTATCCATCACCACCTGTTCTTGTCAGGACTCAAAGAAAAAAAAAATAGTAGTTATAGAATTTCTGATAATTACAAAGTTGTAGTTAGTTGGGCGAAAAAAAGTAAAACACGAAACATTACCTGCACTATTAATTATATACATCAATGTATTGATGATAAAATGCAATTAAAACCTTGTTTTAAAATCGAATATAATAATGGTCATCAAACAATCGAGTCTTGGCGAAGTGCAACTCATGCAGCAAATTTATTTGTACAGGTAAAGTTTTTCAAAAAAATTTTTTAATATTTAAATCAATACTAAAAAAACACTCTTGATAAAAAAGATGTATAATCCTAATGGAAAATCAACACTATCTGGAACTATAGTATTTGGGCTGCAGCTTAAATGTGTAGAACAAGCTAGAGATTCTCATCGTCAATCTAATGCTCTTCGGCCCCTTGAAACTCTTAGTAATTCTGCAAAAAGATCTCGAATCAAACAAATTGGTGAAAAAATGCGTGATTATATTAATCATGAAACAACACATTTACATCATAAGGACAAACTACAAATAAAATCACTTGTTTTGTCAGTTGATGATCAAAATTGGATAGTTAATTATTCAAAAGATATGACATTTGAAAAAATCAAAAGCCAAGCATGTGTTTGTGTAATGGATAGTAATTATATTTCATGAGAAGCTTTTCGATCAATGGCAAAAATTTATCCAGAATTAGATTGTGAATATATAATTAGTAATAAAAAGCTTAATCTTGACAAAATAATGCAAGATATTATACCTCTTTATATTATAGATATTAATATAAATAGTTCAACAATTTTTGCAACAAATAATGAAGAAATTCATATTGATAATGAAGAAATAATTTATGGTGTAACTGAATCAGTTGAAAAGGCTAGTTATAGAAGTATAAAAGATATTTTGAAGTATATAATTCCATTTTATATTGAAGAAAATATATTAGATCCTAGTAATCCTCTAATTATGCTACGAATATTAGGAATGTAGGATGTTATTTAATGCATGTAATGATTACATGTTTTATTCTTAATGATATTAGTAATCTTCAGATACCTGAACAACATTATACTATAGTTCTATATCCTGGCATTGAAGATTATCAAATTTTACAAAATGTTTTAATGCCATTAATTCATGATCTACAGGATATTTTTCAAAATGGAATTGTTAATAAATTTGGCAATAGATGAAATATTCAACTTTATTTCTTATCAGATTGGAAATTTCTTGCTTTATGTTTGGGACTAAATGCTACCAATGCAATATATTTCTGTCCTTATTGCAAATGTACTAAAAAAGAAATTGGATTATATAACAAGCATTAAGATAAAAAAAATATGGAAATGCTTATTAATAGTCATAGCACTTGTCCTGAACATATTCGAAAGCCATTATTTTTTGTGATACCTTTGAAAAACTGGATTCCAGATGAACTTCATATATTACTTAGAATTACAGATCATTTATAGAGTTTGGTAATAGCTGAAATTGATCTTAATAACAATCAGATTAGAAATATTATATGTGAAGAGATGAAATGGATTGGTATTAGTTTTCATTTCTGGCAAGAACATAATTCATGTACATGGAATTTTCCATCAATAACAGGTGATAAAAAGCTTAAACTACTTTGTGAATTTGATTTTACAAAACTTTTTAACCAGCAAAGAGCGATACTTATTCGACAACTTTGAAATAAGTTTTATTATCTTTATAAATTATTAAATAATAAAGAAACTACTAGTGAAATATTTGAGGATGAGGTAAAAAAATAGATGGAGTTATTTTTAACTCCAACATCAGGAACACCAAATACATCAAATTTCATTAAAGGACTATACAAGCCATCGAATATTACACCTTATATGCATCTTCTTTATAGTTATATTCTAAATATAATTAAGAATCATAGCAAATTAGGAATTCAAGCATTTTCTTGTTCGCCAATAGAAAAAAAAACCACTAACAAACAGTATATTTTTTTAATAAAACTTTAAGGAATGGTGGAAATAAAACTCAATCTTCTTCAAATTTAGCGATATTGCAACAGGAAAACAGATTGTTATATTATATTAAAAATAGAATACTATTAGCTTTTAAAAAATCCAACCATATTTATATTAAATAGTAATTATTGCATTATTGCTTCGATAAATAATAAATATATTTGTATTATTGTCTAAATACATTAAAATTAATTATCACATTATTGTTTTAATAATTAATAAATACATATTTTATTATTGTCTAAATATATTAATGAATTAATAAATTAATTGATAATTAATACATATTTAAATTATTTGTAATATAATATTTAATTTACCTTTGAGTTTGATAGCTAATAGCATCGACTTGAAATTTAATAAGAATAAATCCTGTAGAAATTGTATTCTGATGAGCATCAGTTATTGTTTCAACATATCACTCTATTTTCATTTCAAGTGCTTTTTAAAAATCTAATGATGATGAAACATATAACATTACATATGCTTTTTGGTCAAGTTCATACCATCGTCCACTCCATTCAGTATCTTGCAATATTGTTGCCATTGTTGCATTAGCATCTTGACCTTTAAAAAAACATGTGTACTTTCTTTTACAAGGTAAATAACGTTGAACCCATGGTCCAAATATACTAATAAATTGACTTTCACTGCATGGAATTCTGATTATTTGTTTTTCTGGTTTACTAAAATTAAGTGGTAATTTTTTTTTAATAAAAAATCTTATTGTTTTATGAAACTCTTGAATAGCATTTGAAGGTAAAGAAGAAATATCAGATGGTGGTATTTTGTAGTCATTATGTTTAAGGGTTTTATGTTGATAAAGCCCTTTTATATTTTTGAATTGTTTTACTTGACATAAGGAGCATTGATAAGATTTGGATATTCTTTGATTTTTAGAACTTTCATTTGTTATAACAGAACTTGATAAATTCATAACTAAATAATTTGTAACTGATTGATCGATGTATTATAAATCGGTACGATTGAATTATTCGTATTGAATTGGTTGGTAACAAAATCACATGTTATACAAAAAGTAATCGGTTAAAGGGTGGGGTAATCAGTTAGATGCAAAGTTTAATATATTCATATTGAATTGATTGGTAAAAAAATCACATGTTACACAAAAAGTAATCAGTTAAAGGGTGAGGTAATCAGTTGGACGCAAAGTTTAATATGTAAATTTTAAATTTAGAGTATTTAAAATGACATACATGTCAATTGACTATCTACTATCTTAATAATTTAAGGGATCTCCGATCAGATTTTATAAGTTTTAGTAACTGAAAAAAAGGTCCAAAAATCAAAATTAGTGCAGATGTAGAGAATTGAGTTTTTTTAGCAAACAAGATTGTTTGTTAATGATAGATATGTTGAAATTATTCAAAATTTGTAGTCATGTTTAAAGAAGAGGTCTATTGCAATAGCCCTACTGAGATGGTTAAGAATGTTATAAATATGTAGTTGTAAGTTATTTTTAATCATAATACATATTTCTTTTTTAGATGTAGAGCAGTTTGACTAGTAATAAAAGAATTGATGATTATTATGAAACTTTTTGTTTTTGGTTTTTGCAATTTTGGTTTCAGTTAAGCTAATTATATGTAAATTATTTTAAAGATAATATTCTTTCATTAAGAGCTTCTTTTCTGAATTATTGAAACTTTAAATATTATAAGTTGCAATGTTTAAATTAAATAAGAGGTCAGATGAGTGGTTTGTATAAAGTCTTGATGAAGATAATGGTAATAAAAAAATGGAGAGAGATGAAGGTTGTTGAAGTGCTATTGGAGATGTAGAAAATGAGTTTGGTATTAATGTTGTAGTATATTGATTTGTTGAGTTGAAAAAGTTATTTTCTGTTGTATATGATTTTAGTAGAATGTTTGGGTAATGCCAAATAGCTTGAAGTGGTGGAATAAAATGATTAGATAGAGGTTTGGGTTCAAATGGAAGGTAGACATGAGCTTCACTATAATCATTTTTAATAGATAATTAAAGTATAGTTACAAGCATTGCTTGGTAAATAATCAAAACTATAAATATATCATATAAAGAAATAATTGTTTGTGCGTGTAAAAGTAGTAAAAGGTGGTTATAAGCTAAAAATTTGTTGTAGCATGTGTGAAGTTGTATAGAGCCAAAGTGTTTATTAGCAATAACAGTATTATTATAACCAGATAAGACAGTTTCTATTAGTTGTGTATAGGTGTAGTTTACAGTATTATCTTTGAGAATAGGTTTAATATATTGTATATTGTTAAGTACTAGGAATATTTAGAAGGAATAGATACAAATGGATAATATCTATAACCAGATTATTGTGAAATGAAGTAGTCAAATAAAAGTTCTGATTTATTTGATAAGTATATATAGCATTTGCTATAGTTTAGTTTAATTGATATTGCTAATGTAAAGTTGTAAAGATTAAGTGGTATATAATTGTAAGAATATATATGTTCAAAAAAGAAATGAGAAGTTTGTAGATATAGAAGTAGAGGTAGGCCTAAATGGGCTAACTATTTATTATAGCATAAATCTGGATCTAGTACTGTATTGTATAATGAGTCTTGTGATGTTTCCTTGAAGTGAGATAATACAATAGGGTTCAAGAAGATAAAGGGTTCTTTTGTAGATACACTTACTTATGCCTAGCTCTTATAGCTGCAAAGAATGCTATAGCCTGGTCTGTACATTAAGTCTGGCCATTATAAAGTTGGTTCTTCATAAAAATAGACTTTTCCATCTATCTAATTACATTATTCTCTTCTAAGAATAGTTTACAACAAGTAGAGAACATTATAATCTTAGAAGTGATGGTTGCATTAATGTATTTTACAAAGAAAGATTTCTTATTTTGGTACTAAACTTAATTGTACCAATATTAATTCTTATTATATTCTTATTGTTACATGTCAAGAAGTATGAGAACATTAGTTTCTCAGATGATAACTTTATTAAAATGATCAGTATCTCTTATGAAAGATTTATTACTTGTGATATGCAGCTTTTGGTACCAGATTCAGAATCAGAATAAAATTATTTAGTATTAAATATAATACAGATTACTATATCAGTATCATAACTATACTTCTATTTCTATCTAATATCATATACAAAGTACTATATTATATACATTTCATATGTAAACCATTCATATTCATTATTTTAAGAGTGATAATAACAATAATTCTTATAATCAGTTTGCTAGAAACTATTTCAAATTGTATAGTTTTAAAATTTATATTGGAGTTTAAATTAGTCTTATTATTTTACAAGATCTTATTTATCATATTAAAACTTATTCTTTCAGAATCTTTATCTATTTTTGAAATAGTGCCAACACAGACTAGTGAACCAGTTTTAATCTAGAATTGCACATCTAGAATCAGTGATTCCAAATTAGTAATATAAAACTAGGTGATATTGATAAATCATAAATTACTAAAAAGAACAATAGAAGATAAAGTATTCTATGATAATTGTTTTATAAGTTTGAGGTATGAAGATGAAAAAGAAAATATGCTTTTCATTATGCTTAAAGATGCATTTAATGTTTATATTGATTATAAAATCTTGTAAACAAAAAATATTAAATTTGCTAATAAAATTTAAGGTTATAGTAGATTACAGAATCCTAGTAAATTCATAATATTTGATACATATTCGAATAAAGAATATGCAAGAATAACATTTGAAAATAAAGAAATAGAAATCAAATTTAAAGAGTGTAGTCTCAGTAGTTAGTTGTTTCAAAACAAATTGGAACCAAATAACAATCTTATTTTTAGCATTAAATTATATTTGCATAACTTGAAATGTATACTAAAAAAATGAATTGTAATGATCATAAAATTAAATTGTACATCATGAAGAAAACTTTGATTACATGTGATTTGATAACAATACTTGATAAAAAAACTATTATTAAAATAGCAAATTATATTATATTTCAATAAAGTTTAATAATCTTTTATT